GTATTGATGACAGCCATAATTACAGCACTTTAACACTGTAGTCGTAACTTAATTTTTTTAAAATTCCCCACCTTCAAATTGGTGTTGTTAAGATAGTCCCTCTTAAATATCAATTCAGCTTGGGTTGTTCAATATTTCTTTCCTTTTGTATGCAAATCAAAGCAAATTACTCTGTAAAACTGAAACAATAAATGTTCATGAAAAATAAAATTCAATTCATACTATCAATCAATCATTCATTTACTCTTTTTGAGAGTGTCAGTGATAACTTCCATCAGGCAGGGCACAGTGAAGGCGGGGTCGTGGCCTGTGACAAACTAGCATGTTTCCGTATTCTCTACTGCGCTGTCGAAGAAACAATCCAAAGTGACCGCACCATAGACCTATCCCCACAGACCACGATGACGGGAGTGGCCTAGTGGTTAGGATACTGGTCCGTAATCGTGAGATTGCGGGGTTCTGGGGTTCGAGCCTCAGCTCTGTCCGACGCTGTGTCCTTGGGAAAGTCACTTAAAAGAAATATGGCTCAGTGCTTTCGGAAATGGACGTTAGGCCCTAGGTCCCATCTCTTAAAGAACGTACTAGTGTTGATTAGGACGTAAAACCAATACCATTTCACGACGACACCAACACTATCTATGTACAGGGTGATCCCCAAAAACTGTACAACCTTTTTTGTTAATATTTTCCTCCACACTCAAGTTTTGCGTTTCAAATTTGTACACAACATTAGGAAGTCAAAAGGAATTTGTCTGATATTCATTTTAGATAAATCCTCAGAATAGTCTTGCTCTGCACAGCGCGTAAAAAACAACCCATTTTCAGCTATGTCCCCATTTTGTAGCATGACGCACTGGTTCGCATTAGGCGTACCGCTAAAAACCCCAACGATTGCGCCATATTGCAAACTACAGTAGTCTAACAGGGCAAAAGAAGTTTGCAGATAGTTTCTCTCAAGTCCTTTTGTCTGCTGAGATCATGGTTAAGATGAGTAAAGAGCAGAGAGCTTTTTGTATTGAACAGTTTCTCACCACCAACTCATTTCGTAAGTTTCGCACAAGGTACGGAAATAATGTTAAGCTGCCCTTACAGTACAGCCTTCTTTGATCCATCAGTTAGGACCGGTAGCCTGTAGAGAATCAAAACTAAAAATTCCCAGACAAAACAACCACTTCAGGTCAAAGACACACTGTTCGCACCCCTTTAAACGTCACGCAGGGTGCAGAATTCAGTAGATGAGCCCCATGACACGTCTGTCCGTAGACGATGTCTGCAGCGATGACTTTCCAACATCTCAGCGGTCCGAGTTCTCAAGGCCGATCATAATCTATGACTGTACCATTTTCCCGTTTGCGAAGCTATCACTATCAGAGGACAGCAATGTGTTCATAATTCCTCGACCGTCTTGAAAATCATGAACATTTCCTCAATGACATTTTGTTCCTTGGCAAATCCAATATTCACCTTTCAGGCTAGATAAACTCATACTCATAGAGTTATCTCCTTTTAAACTATATAGTGACTATAGTGTACATCTATGGATAAACTCCACAAATGCTGTCTATTCTAGGCAACTTCACCCCCCCTCCTTATATTGTCTCTAGGAACAGCTGCATACTGTAAGGTGCACCGTGTGTGTGCCTTTGAGTACTCATGGTTGAGTGGATCCTGGGGTTTGGCCACCACTGGACATTATGAACGACGCGTTAAAATGTGTTGAGTCCAAAAGAGGACATATAGAGGCCACAGGTGGCCTAAATAATGTTAGGTGGGAGGGTTGACCTTATTTAGTCCATATGTACCCTAAATAAGCATTCCCTTTTATAAATAGTATTATTATAACTCCACAACCATAGGAGGTAGGGTCTTGAGTGCAATAAATCACACTTAATAATAATATACGGACACACATAGTATAAGTTATTTAAGATGTTTCTTCTGACTTTTATTTTTTTTGGTCTTGTTCTGTGTACAGTTCTAAGTAATACATACTTCAAAGAAGCCGTTTACTCGCCCACAAAATGAAATGATTCCTTTTGCATTCCTGCAAAGCTTCTCAACCCACAATTTTATATAAACTGCCAGAAGGCGTAGGAACAGTGCTTAATGAGAGACCATAATATTGTCCTGTCAGTTTCCACAAAAAAAAACAACCTTCTGTCTCCAAGACTCCACCAGTTCAGTAGATAAGTGGTTGGAGTTTTAATGTGCTGTGGTCTGCTCTGTTTTCTTTTCAATGTTACTGTATTCTAATCTGTTCTTGGTGAAATAGTTGACATACGCTTCCTACAGCTACTACAGCTTCGCAAAGAACAGATTAGATTACAGAAACATTGAAAAGAAGAGAACAGAGCAGACCACACCACACCACATTAAAACTCTAACCTTTTTTGTTTTAGTAGAGGTTTTACAGAGCCCGCAACTGCATTAGGTCATATGAGCGCCAGAAGATTAGAGGTGTTACAAGAGAGTAACAAACATAAAAAAGAAGGAGGGGAGATAAGGACGATAGATGTTTGATAAGAAAGAAGAAGCAAACCACACCAGAGCACCCGCCAACCACCCACTCCAACCTACTGAATTGCTGGAGTCTTGGAGACAGTAGACACCACAACAGAGGCTACCCTCCATAGGTTGTAACATGAATGAGTGAGGGAGAATAATAATGTACTTAGTAAGTTGACAGAAAAACACTTGCACAATGCTTTGAAGTATCAGTATTTTATTTGATGTTCTCCGTATCTCTTTCTTACTTTCAAAGACAGTTCTATGTACAAATTCTGTATAGGAAACTAGCTACGCTGGCATTCTCACACATGATTGAAACATACTTTCCAAAAGTTGCATCGAGTTAGTATTTATAAGTTATATCCACCTAATTACATGTACATGAGTACAAAACATCTGATCATGCAATTCTGAACAAATCTCTGCAAATGCATGAATAATATTCATAAAATACAAGTTGGATTTACATCCACCGGTTCCTAAAAAGGAAGTGCTGACATCAATACAGGAAAAGAGCCAGATTATGTCTCAATTTCCATTGTGTGAAAGTGGAACAAAGAGGCAATGATGAGATCCCTTAGCCAAGATAAAAGTTAATAGTCCATAGCAGTTTGCTTATTCAGTATTCAGCAATGTGGTACAAGTTTAAATGCCTTTTCTAATGTTCACACAGTAAGATTATTTCAGAGACAGACAGCACCTCCAATTTAGCTTCCTTTCCAATACGACTGAGCCTACTTGGTGCTCAGCAGAAAGCGCCTGACCATATAGCATAGACATTCACATTGTTGGCCAGCTGATCAGATGTGTTAAGCCCAAATTTTGGAGAATTTTTTTTTATAGCAGATTCTTTATTTGTGGTATTGCATGAATTGCTTGCATGTGCTCAAAAGTAATTTGTTGAAATTCAAATCCTAATTGTTAAAAGTAAGTATGAAAAGAAAAATAATGAAGGTACAACTTTGGAAAAGAATGAAAAGCTTTTTTAAAAAAATGTTGCTTTCAAGACTTAGGACATTTGAATAGCTTGCCGACAATCAGGGGCGAAGGCTGACTTGTTTGACAGGGTAATCAAAGTGAAATGGGACCAGATATAGATCTATATGGCCTGTAGATATCACAGAAGAATCTTACTCGAGGCGGCGACTCTGAGTTGTGAATGAAAACAAATCCTGAATTCTTATTGTATGTTCAACCGCCAAAATAATCGGGAAAGTATCTTATTAAATATCAGTTCCAACTAAAATTAAATTAACTTTAGATGTGAATACATAAACACAAAGCAAAGAAGCAGAGATGTCAGTACTAGATCTATATGTTATAGACCTACCAGAGAGTCTAACTCTTTGGTAGAACATGACAATTATCATTTTTTAAATTTCACATTTGGCTGTTTTTGTTAGCCTTTCGTGGCCAGGAGCTGGTGTCATAATCGAGGTCACGATCTGATTATAGGACAGTAAAAAGTCGAGGAAAAAAAACAAGCACATGCAGCAGTAAAGAGATTGTTAGGAGTTAGTTCCCCTCACATTTGTGAGGTAGACTCGACCAGTGTTCGTTAGCTTACTTAATCAGGGCCTGGGATTGATTATAACTGTGGCCCCAAAGGGGTGAACAGGGTATATGTGGCAATGAAACAGCCATGACTGCTACGCACATGTACCCTAAACTGTATTGGCAGACTCTTCCCAGCCTCACTTTAAGCTTACTTAATCAAAGCTTGCGACTCCTTATGGAGTGGCCCGAGAGGGGTGAGGAGGCTATTTATGTGGCCGTGAAACCGTTTTGAATGTTTGGCATACTCATTGTGGATTACGAACCTCTTTTTACTTTTAATTTAAGAGGTTTACGTTTAAGGATGAATTTGACAGCGACAATGTCTCAAAATTAGGAAGGGAAGCAGTGATTATTTGATTATACAGACGCTTCGCCCCTGCTGACAATAATAACTTGAAGTACCATGGTAGAATCATTACCACAGAAAATCTGTTAGTGTAAGCAATACCTGTGACCTGATAAGCTCATTGAGAGAAAATTTAATGGCTTCGGCAGATCATAACTTCACTATTAATTGAGAAGAAAATCTCAAGAGCCTGGGAGTAATTGAGATACATATCATTACTCATCAACAATGCAACTTTCATACATATGCTGATCTCATCAGTATGAATACATAAAACCAAAAAAACTTTACTGTGATACACAAGATTTATCTGCAGTAACTGACAAACAAAGACATATATCCGACTTATTTCTTCCAATGTCATCAATGGAAGCAGAGATCAATGATACTGAATAATTGAATCCGACACACTTCTCTTGTCAAGTTGCATTGAACAGAAATTTTCTTTTCGGAGTGCTGGAGCTTTTGATTGAGACAGACCCCCCCCCCCCCCCCCCCCAAAAAAAAATGTACTATGAAAACGGTCACTCACTAGGCAAAACAAGAATGAAACATAAAAATGCAGGTCTACAACATTTCTTTTTTTTTGTGCGCTTTGTATTAGTAAGAGTTTTACATTAACTCTCCTTGCAACAAATTTAGGTGAATTATAAGTGTTGAAGATAAGAGTTAAAGGTGTTACAAGAGAGTATTTTTATGTATTTCATAAAAAAGAGGAGGATAGATAAAGACAAAAATACTTGATATGAAAAATGGAGCAAACCACACCAGAGCATCCGCCAACCACCCGCTTACCATTTCTGAATATGTCAGTCAAAAAAAGTGTTTCATTCCCTCAATATGTACCGTACAGAAGTAAATACATACAAAAATGAACTTTGAAGAAATTATCTTACTGAATAATAAGATAAAGACTTTAAAAGCAAGCATAAAAGAAGATTTTTTCCCCTCGTACTTCTATTCATAGCAAGTATGTAATTCATGTCTTAAGTATCAAACCAAATTGGGACACCCATACCCGTTTGTTGAATTATGAATTGTATTTTTGACTTGGAGGATTGGGCGACGAATTCTATACACGATGTACCTTCTAAATGGCTCAATTTTAACTTAGATTTTAAAAAGGTGACATTTCGAAATGAACAGTTGTGGGTGCAGAAGCTTCTCTTCCACCCAGAATGATAACTCAGAATATAAGTAAAAACCGATGGCAGAAAAGGAACTAATGTAAAGTTTCTGCTTCAACTGATTTCATATCTACTATCATTACATCTGCATTAATTAAGCCCCCCCCCCCCCCAATTACATGGCACAAAAAAGTTGACTACATTGACACATATTGAACAGTCTTTTATTCTGAAGTACTCACAGTCAACAATTCCTGCATATCTCAACATACATAATGTAGACTTACCACTATTACATCCACAGCCTTAAAAAAAAAAGGAAGTGTATGGATTTAATGAATGATCCTTTCAACACATAGTACTATTAGGTTATTTAAAAAGTGGGCCCTCCGAATTTAATGTTCGTCTCTGGTAGAACTGAACCACATGGGTTCAAAGCTTTGAAAACTCCACAAAACGACATATTTCAAGGATACTCAGTCTGGGATTCGAACCAGGGCCATTTGCTCAGTAGTCCAGCATGATCATGATACTGACTGAGCTAACACTAATGTTGCATACCTCCAAGGCTAAGTGCTGCTATGCACTCAATGACATGAAAATAGAAAAAAAAGGACAATCCTAGCCGTAGCCTTGGTACCGCTAGTAAGATACCCATGGACAATCGGGCAGCACTCTCTGTTTCTTGCACTAAATGCACGATTATGCCGTAGACCCAGGTCCAGTGTTGATTTTATTTGAAAGGGGGGTGGGGGGTGTCCACCCAAAAGAGTAAAAACAGATTAAGTGTAGATAAGATCAGAAGTTTGCAAAATTTTAAAATAAAAAACAAACAATAAACCCCCCAAACTATTAAGGAATATAAGGATTTGACCAGCTCTTTACCCAGCAGGATATATTTTATTTTCCAGGATTAAATTCAGCCTGCAATTACTTTAGCTTCAGCTGAGAAAGATCCAAATACTTGCAACCAAATTTATTATGGTATTTCACTTCATACATAATAATGCATACATCTATATATATATATATCTATATATATGTATGATATATCATGCTGCATCCACGGATACGCAAGTGAGTATATATTATTAGGAAATAAAATCAAATTTGGCGTTTTAAACCCTGACTTGGCAGGAAAACGTGACCTCTCCCTGTTTTTCTTATCTTTCCTTATCTTTTACAGGACACACACACACACACACACTCTCAAAATATCACATATGAGAACTTACAAGACTCTATCAGAGTTAAACATGGTCAAAACTTTTCAACAAGTGCAACAATTTCACATGTGACAAATATACACATTTGGCAAAATAGTTCAGAACAAGTTTTGAAGACCCAAACATACAATCTTTTAGCAGCGAAGAAAACCCAAAACAAAACAAGTAGAGCAGGACCGACAGTGATGCGTCTCTGGGGCAGGTCAAATTTTTAGTAATGTAGTAATGGCGTCCTCACCTGAAATGCATCATTATGTTGGCTTTTTCACCAAGGACAGATGTATACCTCTCAATGAGCCTCTAAATCGTAGCTCAAACCTGGACGCTGTATGGCTAAATCCACATCACTTTATGAAAACACAGTATAAGAGCATGTTGCTCCTTTTTTCAAAATGCACAGCCTACATAATTGATCTATCTAATAATCAAAATCCTATTTCATAACACAGCAATCTGGTACATCATATATTATGTACCGGAGCAAAAGTTTAAAACCAAGAAAGACTGCTTTCTAAATTGCATAAAATATGTACATGTGGAGGGTATTCATCAGTACAAAGATGAAAGCCGGATATCAATCCCGTTAACCAAATTGCTATTGTACTCTGATTACTGGGGCCGAAAATATATTTACAGACCTTTTTTGATAAACAAAAAAACAAACAAACAACATACAACCTGTACAGCTACAAAGTGGCTTAATGTTATACATTAAAACTTTCACCGCAGCCACAAGTGCCTTTGATGTTTGGGTTGTTAAAGATGAATTCCGCTGTAAGTTTATCTTCCTGGTAATCCATTTCTGTACCAAGCAAAGTCAGTTGTGCTTTAGCATCAATGTACACCCGCACACCTTGTAGTAAAACAAAGAAAAAAAAGATATGATTACAGTTGAAGCGGCGTTATACAGAAAAAAATATATTGCCGATTGCATTTTTTGGAAATTGGACACTCTTTCAGTTAAATTTTTTTTGGACATCACTCACTAAGGTATATAATTTAAATAATGCATGGAAAATAAATTATTATTAGTTTCATTCAACATTTTCTAACATTAACTCTAGAAAAATTTTTAGTCCCAATTCTTGATGTGAATTTGTCTGAAAATGCTCTTCGCTTCAATCTAAAACAATGAAGTTTATAAAGATGCCAAATAATGGCTCAGAAGTTAGAAATAACATAGAATCCAAAATATGAATGAGATAGAGGTAGATAAAGGCAGACTAATAAATAAAACACCAATGGAACGCTCACCTTCACGATGAAAACACTGCAAATTAACATGCTACTCGCAAACTCAATACAGGTCATCACTTATGTTTTGAAGCCAAGGGGGAAAAACCCCCCAGTATGAGCAAGATGAGACAGAAACCTTTCTTTGGTTTACAGCACCCAGGTTCTAAATTCTAAGTCAAATTTCTTTCATTTCATGTTCCTGAATCATCACAAGTAACTTGTTTTGAAAATATTAGAAGCTTTTAACTCCATTAAACAGATGATGGTTTAAGATTGTTATATCTAAAGACGAAGACTAATAAAGCAGCTGTCATGGAAAATGACTAAGCTTAAAAAATAAATATAAACTAAATAGCATATATATAACTGAAACAGGTATTGTTATGATTTCATAATCTTTCAGGTACAGAACATAATATATGCATAATAGAAAAAGCTATTATTATGATTTCATGATCTTTTTCTTTCCAAGTTGCAATTTAACTCAAAAGAAGAAAAGCCCTCAGCACACATCTTGTAGCAGATACAAAGTTGTAGTTTTTAAACAAGATCTAATCAGATGGGATTTATATGAAAATATAGAGAAGAAGTAAGAAATTTTAAAGGGGTGTACTGTTTGCTTACCATCCTGAACAACTTCCTCATCAAACTTCCCTTTTTTATCAGAATAGTCGAGTGTGTACGTCAACCCATTGCATCCTCTTGTTTTTACTCCAATAGACACACCTTTCTGTTAATAGGGAAAATAAAAATTAATTATTAGAAACAGTTTTTTAAAAGTAAAAAGCTACTGATTCAAAATGCATCATTCTTTACCTTTGAAGAACATATATAGACTGAGAGCTAGGGGAAAAAACCCCAACAAAACACCAAGACCAAACACAATTTATGAGTCCTTACAGCATAAGCACGATCAATTTTATCCTGCACACTAACAAAAAGTAATGATGACCATAGATTTAGTAACACCGTCATTAAAGAAGAGTAGCAGTACATCATCTACACAGTAAAAAACAGAAAAGAACAACAATTGGGGATAAAAAACAGACTATAATGAAACCATTGTAGCACAAACATTTCAGTGTTGGGAAGACTGGCAAATAATAAGCCCAGGGGCTGCTATTGATTGACAGAGGATTGGAGGGGAAACACATCATTGAAACGAAACACTTATCCCAGTTTTACCTCGTACCACACTTTTTGAGATTGAAATAATGGATACTTATACTGCATAAGAAGTAAGAGAGTATTTTAAAAAAAGATATCAGTGTCCAAAGAGCGATCATATCATACAGAGGTAGCAAGGTATAAGTCACTGTGAGTCATATCTTTCTTCTTAATGAGTTAAAATGAAATGCTTTTATTGGTAACGAGATGTCCAAAAACTGAAGAAAAAAAAGATAATCAGTAATACAATGTCACGACTACAAGCCATGACTGGGTAGAGGCATGGGGGTGGGGTTGGGAGGGTTGTATTCAGAAATACAATTGAATATACACCGAATTATACTTGACAATCACAGTATTGGAATCACAAACATTTTTGTCAGACCTTGGGTGTAAACTGGTGAGATTTCATTACTTGGGGACCTACAGTTGTGAGCAGGACTGAGCAGCAATAATGTTACGACATGCTCAAAATGAAACCATGTACGTTGTGTTTTACTATCGTATCCTTACGACCTGGGGAACCCTGTGCCAACACTTTCAAAGAGGAAATACTCTTTAAATATGATCTGTATGCTTTGCATAGTAGACTGTCAAAATGATTTTTTGAGAAATACTGAAAGTTTCAAAGAGATCTTTGTACTAGAAGTATTTTAAAATGTGAAGAATACAACCCCGGGGTAAAAAATAACTCCAGGGCCTACGGATAGGGTTAATTCAAACATTTTCAGTACTATAGTAGTTTCAGCCTAAACACACAGTGCTCGAGGGGCTCCTAAGCATGTGTTTACATGGCACAAGCGTTTACGTGAACCTGCGGAGATCCACGTTTTGTTGAACAAGGGTCTAATTTTTAGTTTCAGTAAAATATTACGGCGCTCACAATGGCATAAGGTCATATGAGTGCCAAGGGGTGGATGTCAACAGAGAAGTCCAAACCAGGAATCAGGCTTACTCTGCTCACCTCTC